TGAAACCTTACTTTTCCAAGTTATTCTACTATGACACTAGAGTCAGTCTAAACCAGAGGTTTCATATTGATCTTCTCTCTTTGTCCCATCACCCCCATTAAAACGTTGGTTGGTTTCTCTCATGTCAAATGCTCTCACCCCTCTGATATTTGTATCTTTGGATCACAAACTCTTTACAACCAAGGTTATATTTTATTTCTAGTCTCATGTCATCATGGTTCACATATAGGGAAGCTGTTTGCACTTTGTATTTGTTTTTAGTATTTTTATTTATTTATTTTTAACATTTATTCATTTTTGAAAGACAAACAGAGACAGAGTGTGAATGGGGAAGAGGCAGAGAGAGAGGGAGACACAGAATTTGAAGCAGGCTCTATCTAGGCTCCAAGCTGTCAGCACAGAGCCGGATGCAGGGCTGGAACTCACGGACTGCAAGATCATGACCTGAGCCGAAGTCAGTTGCTCAACTGACTGAGCCACCCAGGCACCCCTGTTTTTTGGTATTTATGAACAATATTTGGAGTTGCCATTCCCAGCTTCTGATCACCATGAACAAATTAGCAGGAACCACAGTGACAAGATGATTTCAGCTACTCGGGGAAGGAAATATGTGTGAAAAACAGTTGTGCAGATGTATTATGGGTAAATGAGCAGGTAGATTAATATCCTGGTAATTTTAATAATCATAATGGAATGTTGATACTAGTAATCATAATGAAAGAGCCATTCCAATCGCAGTTACTAAATACTTGGATCTCTTCTGTGTCATACATACTGTATTTAGCCTTCACAGAAACCCTAAAAAGTAGATTATTTTAATCTTCATGTCTACAGAGGAAGAATAAGTAGCACAGTTATGTAGGGACTTGTGAAATATGGCATCATACTGCGCAGTGGGTGGGGTATGAATCCTGGCGGTGTGGCTTCAGCCTGGATGCTCTGTCATTGTGCTAACCTACCTCTCTGCTCTGCTTTAGGGGATTTGCATCTTAGGGAACCTGGTTTAGAACTTGAATTTCTTCAATCAAATCTATAGTTCATCTCTTAACATAACCCTGAGTTTTTCACTGACCCATCTATCCTTTAGGAATTTTTACTCTTCTCTTTGCAGATGGTTTCTATTCTTCTAATACCAATCACATAGTCCCTTACATAATTAATGCTTTCATCTATGCATATCTTAAAACTCAAAAATCATTAAGAACAGGTGAGTATTTTGCCCAATCTTCTCAATAAGTCCAGATAATTGTGATTTGATATTTAAAATCAAAGATAATTATGGAATTCTGAGAGAAGGGAAAGGCAGTAGAATTTTAAAATGTTTTGAAACAAACACTAAACTAGAATGGGGAAATGGACAGCTTGTAATAAAAGAAAAGGAAAAAAAGTCATAGAAAAGGGAAAAAGTAAAATCATAGTAGGGAAAGTAGCAGAGGCGGGGACTTACATAGTTCTCGCTTATTATAAGCTGGATCTTTTTCTCATTTTATCTGCAGTGTAACCATGTTATGTGTAAAGTAGTTTTCCCCAGCTAGGAAAGAGTGGAGCTGGGATTTGAACCCAAGACATCTGACTATAGCAACTGTGTTCTTGATCAAGAAATGTAGTTATTTTCTTGATGAATAGCCATCCCAGATAAAATATCAACATTGCAAAATATGAACTGACCAAAGATAAAAAATTGTCATAAAAGCAATATTCTCATTAAAAATGTAGTAACAATGTAAAATGTGGTTGGTGATAAAAATGTATGTGCATATAACAAAATACAATTGTTTTCTACTAACCAAATGAGAGAATAAGATCGTGTCATAAAATAACCTTTCTTGTTTGTTTGCATGTTCATCAGCTTTTTTGCAAAATCATCAACCTTGAAATATTGATCATATGTGTATATACTAAAAGGATGTAGAGATACACACATATGTAAATATACTTAGAGAATGTTTCCTAAAAGACATTTCTAAAAGAAAACCAAAAGTAGTTATTTCTGGAGAGTAGGAGTATAAATTCAATAGTTTGGAGACAGCTTTAAATTTTCTTTTATTCTTTTGTGTCTTTTGAATAACGAATGATAAACATGAATTATTTCATCATAAAATATAGTTAATAAATGGACACAAAATGTTGAGAAACATTTTTAATAATTATCAACAGCATGATGATCTCTAGCATTTGGGACAACAACATCATATTGGGAAATTACTTTAAGTTGTTATCTATGTGACTCAAAATTGGAAACTATATAAATAACTCAAAGGACAAATGGTCAAAGAGATGCCACTTATAAAACTTTATACAATGTCACATGATTAAATTAACAGTTAAACTAATGATAAGTATAATGACATGGGAGGAAGTGTTATAATAATTCAAGTCAAAATCAGGACATAAAATGATATTATATGGTGATTTCAGTGACAAAATCAACATGTTATGAACAAAAACTTGAAATGGAACAATCATAACATAGTATGTTGGAATTATGGGATACTTTTCAGATGAAATTTTAGAAGTATCCTGGTGACTTCAGGGTAAAATGAACATCTCTGAGTAACAACAGGCATCATTTAGATTATAGGCATCATTAGGAATTTTATAGCATGTTGAAATCACAGGCAAAGATGCTCAACATTCTGAGTTTAGTCCCACAGTACAGTCAAGAGGGTAAACAGTTTCCCTCAATTATGTCAACTTCAAAGGTGTCCCGACATTTGTTATATAATGGTGTCAGTAAGACTGACATTGAACAAGGGAGGTTAAGTAAAAGATTGTCAAAACAGATTTTTATAAAGCATATTTCATCCAACATACTGATGGAGTCAGAGATAAAGGGGTCAGGGGCCCAAAAATGATTGAACTGAACAGAGAATACTTTCTTCCAGAGGGATTTTCCAACAAGTTAATTATAGTGGAATAGTGTTTTCCAGATTTCAAAGCACATAGATAAAAAAATTCATAACACATGAGATACATGTGTGTATCTGTGTGCATATACAATCTTTTAATTCTTAAGGAAACTCAGGATCAGGTAAGGCAACTATTTGCACTCCATTTTTCATATGAAAGCTAAATTATGAGACAGTTAAGTCACTTGCCCAAGGAGAGTTCAAGTTCTGCAGTTTTCAGTCTTGGTAGGAATCAGAATTTTTAAAGGACATTTAATTTTTACTCCCCAAATGCAAAGGCTTTGTTGACCCAAGGCAGTTAGCTTCTGAATCAACAGATAGCTCTGGGAGAGGCTTGGGCATCTGCGGATTTACCAAGAGTCAAAGAGGATTGAAGGCAGTCAGAAGTAACATAACATGGAGCAAAAGCAAGGCATTCAGAGTTCAGCCCACCGATCTTCCCAAGCTGTCACTTCTTTTCTTCTCTTTGCAGATTCAGCCCTTGTCCTCAACTGCACCTTACTTTCAGCCAGTAGTATTACGATGAATAGCAGTGTGACTGAATTCATTCTCCTTGGGTTGACTCGGGATGCAGGAAAGCAGAAGGCAGTATTTGGTGTCTTCTTGATTCTTTACCTTGCGACACTGTCGGGGAATTTTCTCATTGTAGTGACTATTAAAACAAGCAGGACCCTTGCGAGTCCCATGTACTTCTTCCTATTCTATCTGTCTTTTGCTGACGCCTGCTTCTCTACAACCACAGCCCCCAGATTGATTGTGGATGCCCTTGCTCAGAAGAAGACCATTTCCTACAATGAGTGCATGACTCAGGTCTTTGCAGCCCATTTCTTTGGGTGCATGGAAATCTTGGTGCTCATCCTCATGGCTTTTGATCGCTATGTAGCTATTTGTAAGCCCTTGCGATACACTACCATCATGAGCCGGCACGTGTGCAGTGTTTTGGTGATTCTAGCCTGGGTGGGATCTTGTATCCACTCTTCGGCACAAATTTTCCTGGCTTTGAGATTGCCTTTCTGTGGCCCCAACGTGATTGACCACTATTTCTGTGACTTGCAGCCCTTGTTGAAACTTGCCTGCATGGACACTTATGTGACAAATTTGCTAGTTGTTTCCAACAGTGGGGCCATATGCACGGTGAGTTTCATAATCCTGCTTACCTCCTATGTTGTCATCTTGTACTCTCTGCGTAACCACAGTACTGAAGGAAGGCGAAAAGCCCTTTCCACCTGCACCTCCCACTTTATTGTGGTTGTCTTATTTTTTGGTCCATGCATATTCATATACACACGCCCACCAACCACATTTCCAATAGACAAGACAGTGGCTGTGTTTTATACAATTGGGACCCCCTTGCTGAACCCTCTGATGTATACACTGAGGTATATGGAAGTGAAAAAAGCCATGAAGAAATTATGGTGTAGCAAAGTATGACTTCTCTTGATACAGGATATTTAGGGATTCTAATGTATATTTCCTTTTTTTTCCTAATGTATATTTCCTTAAGAGATTGGTTTTCCTTCATGGACAGGAAAGATGAAATATTCTCATTGGGGGAAAATCCATTAAGGAATTTTAATATCACTAATATTTTATATATTTAATTGAATTATCATAAATAAGTACGAGTGAATATACATCCTTAATTCTGAGAGGACTGCATTAGAATAGGATAACTTAAAGTCTGTAACCATTTTGAACCACCTTGCTGGCCCTTAGTTGAATTCTATTCACCTATGGCCATATTTACATGATAATTTCACCTCCTGTGCAATTTGTCTTCAGAAAGAAATGCACTGACTAGTGACAGAAAGATTGTGTAGTGTGTCTATGTGTGTGCACACACTAATTCTTTACAGATTTTATTCTCGTCCTTAAGAACTTGGACATAGAGCTAATCCATATGGAACTGGAACTTAGAAATGAAGGTAGTGGTCTTGACTACCTGGGACTTAGCGATGATGTTCTGAGAAATTCTGTGGTGGAATCTGTGCCTGAGCCTGACTCACTGGGGCATCTACATGGATGGACCCTCAAACTCCCAGAAAAGCTGGAAACCTCAGTGAAAACCTGGACTGTCACTGGAAAAAACTCTCAACGTTTGGTGAATGGTGGGAGAAGGAGAGTTTTACACTTGGCAGTGATGGGCGGTATCTGCCAGTCAGCTGCTTTATTGGCAGGGTCCTTCCCCTTCATGTTCACAGAGAAGGGGCAATGTGGGTGTTTGGCAGCAGGAATATGCAGAAGGATGAGGGGTAGAAAGAGGGCTGGAGAACTATGTACACTGTAGAGACAGAAAAGGTGAATGGAAAGTGGTAAGGTTAAGAAAATATGTTTATTAGTGCTCAACAAGCTGTGGGAATTCTCTTCTCATGCTTAGATCATAGAGATCCCAGATTCCCTTAGATTTTAGATAAGGTCTCAGTTGGGAGGGGTGGGAGAAGTGGTCAGGGGACAGAAAGGTCTTACTTGACCTGGTACCTTAACAAACTGGCTCACTGTCTTTGCTTCTGAAAAATCTTGAAATCCTTTTATTTGCCTTCCTTTTGGGGGCTTTTTGTAGGCTGTCTAATTTTAGTATCCTTGATGTGGGAAAAAGGTTTCTATTTCTTATGATAACTGATGACTCCTTGTTAGCCCTCAGAAAGCCAGTGGTTACCTTCCAAATTCTGTACCCTTCCCAATGAACTCTTTTCGGCTGGTCCCTAGAAGATCTCCTTACAGCTTCTCTGTGGCATCTATCTAGTTGTAGGATACTTCTGTTGACCATTTCCTTTGGTTTGGAAATAGGCATAAGGTGATTAAGACACACAGTTCACATCCATTGTGTCTACTCAACATTTCAATATTAACTCCTTGCTACATGAGAAAGGTTACATTATAAATAATTTCTGTGAACACTGGACCCCAAGATAATTTATTTTCATTTAGAAAGTGATTGTACATTACTCTGAAATGAGAAATATTTACTTCTTTTCACATAAAAGCTAAAACTTGAAGAATAAAAATTTGTATAATATAACCTTATCTGTAAATGAGAAAGACTTCAAGTGAACTGGGTGGAGATTGACCTTGGGAAGGAGTAATGAGGAAAGGCGAAAGGGAGTCACTCCAAGTATAGGAACAAGAGAAAGGAAAGGAAGACAGAAAATAAGTCTTTTCATTGGTCAGAAGGAAAAATGACTTCATCAAAGTTTCAAGATGCCTCTTATAAAATCCTTCTGTGATTTCAGTGACGAGGAGAGATGTGTCTGTTCTCTCCTCTCTACATTTAGGTTGGAATCCTTCTGTGCAAACAAAAAGACCTCAGCATCCGGGACAGAATCATCATTAGGGTTCAACAGACAATGGGCATAGTTAGTATTGAGGTAATTATAGCATCAGCCACTTCAAATAGCTGGACAACTGAGGAGGGTCTGTAGGAATCTAACAAGTGATAGGTAGTTACAGAGTTCTGTAGGGTATCATAGAGATCTGTCACCCTCGTTCTTTCTTCACCCCATGAATCAGAAGGGGTGGATCAGGTTAGAAGCTAGAATGATAGGGTTTGAACAGTAAAACACAGTTAAGGAATAATGGCAGTGTCTTAGGTCCCCTGAGCTTCTAAGCTGACCTGCAGTACCTAAAAAATTAAAATAAAAATTTCCAGAAGAAAGACAGGATTTTTTTAGTGGGAATTCCAGCAAAAGTGCTGAGATTGCATATTCTATGGGTCAGACACCTCTCCCTGAAACAATCACTGTGGTAAAACAACAAAAAGTTCTCTGTGTTCAGATCCAGGTGGATGGGTGGCTCTATGATCTTCTCTGGGACCTCTCAGGTGTTTGGGTTCGATTAGCTATAGTCTGATCCGATATGATCTTGAATGGGACGGTGGTGCTCTTTCCCTGGTGGCCTGTCGTCCAGCATGCTAATCCGGGGTGTTCTCATGGCAGAAGTGTCTCAGAGAGCAAATGAAAGTGCACAAACCTCTTGAGGCAGAGGCTCAGAACGGGCGTTCTGTCGGGGTGTCTACCACGTTCTATCGGCCAAAGTGAGTCACAAGGACTTCCCAGACTCAGAAAGGGAAGGTCTGCAAAGTTACAAGGAAACCAGTGTACATACAGGGAGGCTAATAACTGTGGGCACAGTGTAATAAATCTGGCCCAAATGCTTACAACATGCCAGGGAGTTTTCAACGTGTTTTGTAGAATTTAATTGATTTCATCCTTAGCAGTGCCTATACTATACTCTAGGTCTTTGTTCATGCTGGTCCCATTACCTGGAATGTCCTTTACTTTGGCTAACTTGGAAACACCTTACTCGTGTTTTCAGACTCAACTTCAACGTCATCTCTTCTAGGAAGCTTTTTGTTGGCCCAAATGGCTCAGCCAAAGGCTCTTTATTTACACTCCCTTAGTACTTGGGTAAATTACTTCTCAACATATTCATCACATTATGTTGAATTTAATTAATTTGTGTACCTTTCCATGGCTTTTACATTTCCTATCTCCAGGGAATTGGCATAGAGGAATTTAGAAGCGTGGGATTAAACTGGGCTTTAAACTAGGCTTAGAAATTTATCTGGAACAATTCACCTGATCTCTTTGTATCTCAGGTAGCTCATCTGCCAAATGGGAGCACAACGGTAGTGAATGTATAGATTTGTGGCAAAGATGAGATGAGTTAACATTGATAAAGTGCTTAGGGAAGTGCCCGCGATATGATAAATGCACAATACCCTTCATTATTATTGCTTATATTTGCATGATCACAATACACATAATCAGTAATGTTTCAATAAACTGAAATATTTTTAAAACTCTTCAAGGAACTTAAAAAGCAGATGTCGTCTTTCCGAAACAATCAAGATGATGTTCTGAAAAATATTGCTTAGAGAAATTAGTTGAAAGGGTTCAAACATGGGACTGAGCAGGGTATCTATTTAGTGCTTCACTGACAAGTTACACCAGGGAGAGTTAAGTCACTCACAGGAAAAGTTTCCTTTCTTCTCTCATTTCCCAGCTTCCTTTCAGTTGGGCGCAAGTGATTTTATCTGCCTGGCCCCTGTGGATTACTACAGCTTTGTGATATATTTGCTCTTGGTTCTTCTCCCCCTTCCCCCCTCCCCGTCCCCCCAAATCTTTGACCACTCTCACATATATATTCAACCGCATGGAGTTTAGAATCAGTTTGTCAGTTTCCATGAATATCATCTCCAGAGATTTTGATTAGGAGCTCCCTCAATGTGTCAGTTAATTGGGAAAAGTTAACAACTTTCAAATGTGAGTTTCTCCTATCATGAATCCTAGAACTCACCTTACTCAGTTGTCATATGTCTTTTTGCGAAGACGTTTAGTCTGCTTTTTGTAATTTTTGTTACATCTCTTAGTTTGATGATGAAGACCATTTATTTTATTTTTTAAACTTGTTTATTATGCTTACATTTGGAAGTAATATTGTGCTTATTTTTGACCAAGATTTTTAATAAACACTATAATATGTCTGTTGATTGTGTTGGTTTTGCTAAGTAGATGAACACATCACCCAGCAATGAATTCTGTTGCTTCATTTTCGGTTCTGATTTTGCCTTATTTCCTTTTTACTGTTACTTCATTGGCTGACACAGAATTTCCAAAGTGACAGCCAATGGACTGGAATTCACCTGAAAGTTTGTAAATTTGTTTGATCCCAAATTGTTGTTTAGAATAAGACTTTACCAACCTTTAAAAAATTCAGCCATCAACATATTCAAATCATTAAAAGTTATATGAAATATGGATGCCTGGGGCGCCTGGGTGGCTCAGTCGGTTAAGCGTCCGACTTCGGCTCAGGTCATGATCTCGCGGTCCGTGAGTTCAAGTCCCGCGTGGGGCTCTGGGCTGACAGCTCGGAGCCTGGAGCCTGTTTCAGATTCTGTGTCTCCCTCTCTCTCTGACCCTCCCCCGTTCATGCTCTGTCTCTCCCTGTCTCAAAAATAAATAAACATTAAAAAAAAAAAAGAAATTTGGATGCCTGATTTGTCTTAAAAATCTGAGTATGAGGCAAATTTAGATATATGCTCCCCATAGGGTGACAACAGAGCAGAGCTTAGTCTGGGCAGACTCTAATAGGGGACATGATTTGCTCCCTCTCAGTAGGGAACAAATGTTTTACATTTCTTCTTAAACATCTTTGCACAATTTGACTTTACTCAATTTTTAAAATCTTCCTGGTGTCTGTAGGTATATGAGGTTGAGAACTTGGCATTAAGACTCTTAGTAAAATATATAATAATAGCAGTTATAGAAGATGGCCTTATTTCTGAATTTAATGGATTACTCTTCTAATTAACCGGGACATTTTCTTTAGGCTTCTGGAACACACCCTTTCATCAAGTTAAAGAGATTCATTTTCCTTTTAGTTGGTTGTGCTTTAATTATAATTCAGTTTAAAAATTGACATCTCAGAAATAGCCCCTTTTGCTTTTAACTTTATTATTAGAGTTATATAAATATAACTTTATTATTAGAATATGCTGGTACCAGAAATCAGTAAAGATTGTATCGGAAAGCAGAATAGGTAAAAAATTTCCAGACCTTATGTGCTAAAATGTATTTAATGAGAAATAGAGGCATGCTGTGACCTGAGAACTTATTTAATCATCTATAAAAAAGATGTGAACAAACTGGCAGGTAACCCTAAATTATAAGTTGGCACAGTCACAAAAAGCTCTCAACAATAGAGTAAGAAACATGAAACTAAAGCTAGCATCGCACTGTTTCTTTGATTGACGTTTATCAAGGTATCAAATCTCACACATCACAAAATATGAAGTCTTGGACCTCATTCCGAGGACGTTCCTAGTGTTTATATTATGCAACTCTAATAAAATAAAGATTAGCCTAAGCTTTTGCAAAGACCCAAGCCATCACATTGTTGTGGATTTTTCTTCTGTATGGATACATGGAAAAAAATGAAAAACTATAAAACTAGGAGGAGTACTTTACTGTGAAATAAAGATATTTCTAAATGTTTATTTATTTTGAGAGAGAGAGACAGAGAGAGCGCAAGCAGGGGAGGGGCAGAGGGAGAGAGAGAGAGAGAGAGAGAGAGAGAGAATTCCAAGCAGGCTCCACACTGCCATCATGGAGCTGGAGGTGGGACTCAAACCCACGAACCATGAGATCATGAGCTGAGCTGAAATCAAGAGTCAGATGCTTAACCAACTAAGCTACCCAGCGCCCCTACTATGAAGTATTTTTAAATGGTACTGTAAAATTCCTTCTACAATCAAAACTGAAAGAACAAATAGAAACTAGCTGCAAAAGCTTTTTACACTCTGCCTCCAATTTGCCTCCAACTCTCCTATAGCACAAAGGTTAAAGTCATTCAGCTTTCCTGGAGAATTTGTGGCTCGAGGTTATTTCTAAGAAACCAAAACAACATTCGTGCTCTTTGCGGTTATAGGGAGCGTCAGCTGTCTCCACACGACATAATCTGACCCCTGTGTACACTTCTCACCTTGCTTCTTGCCACTCTACGTGGACCACTATGTTCCTTGAAAATACCATGGTAGTCCTGTTTTAGAGTCTCCCTTTCTAGAATCTTCATCGCACTCATCCTCACGTGCCGTTTCCTTCTGATCATTGCTGTCATTTATTGGTGTTCTCATCATTAAAAGTATAAAGTTATTAAAAGTATTAATATATTTCATCACTTTTCCTCAACAATCAGCTGAAATGCTATGGGCTAATAGAATCCTTCTCTTCCTACCCAATATGAAGGACCCTCCACAAAAGAACCAGAGCCTTCCATTTCCACAGACTCTGTTCTAATGATCACTCCCTGCCTTTTGTTTGTTTGTTTTTAATTACTTATTGATTATCTCCTTGCTCCCCCCAACTATCTGAACTTGGCTGTTTGGGCAGGGGAGTGGGGAAAGCTCTTCCATTCTATAATCATTCAACAGACATTTATTGAAAACCTAACAGATGCCGGGCATAAATAAAACAAAAGTCCTTCCCACAAGATGTCCAGTACAGAGAAAGCTGGCAAGTAGCCAAAGTCAAATGACTTTTATGTAAAAGCAATTATACTGTTGATCATTTTTACTAAGAAAATAAGGAAGATGTCAGCGTAGGGATTACGGTAGGAGTGGAGGAATCTTTAACAGAGGTGTGAGGGGGGAGGCTCTATGAGGTGATAGTGCTTCATCTCTTAGTTTGAAGCTGTAAATTAGGGGCAAACAGCCACCTGAAGAGGAGGAGGGCTTGCTCTCAGAGAGAAGCAAAAACTTGAAGAGCTGTGGGGGCAGGTGAAAAAGTCCCACAACTGCTGACGGACAGTGAAGGAGGAGGTGAGGCGCTCCAGATGTGGACTTAGAGGCAGTAGAAAGATTAAGTGGAGAATTTTACCACAAGGCAGGATGCTTCTAAAGGCAATGGGAAGCCAAGGAGGGTCGAAATCAGTAGCAGATCATAATCCTTTAACAAATCCATGGTCCTTAAATCCTAAATCATAAGGAACTTTATATTGTTAAGAAATCCCTCTGGCCGCTAGTGGAGAATGGCCAGTTTATTTCTCACACGTGTCTGAAAGAATTCCTCTTTATGGGAGACATGATGCTCTTAGCATGACACGCACCTGCCAACAAAAGCCCCCCCTTTCCCCCACAGTTTCCCCATGGCATTTTTCACCTCTGCGTTCCTCAGGGTGTAGATCAGGGGGTTTAACATGGGCGTGATGATGGAATCAGACACGGCCATTGCCTTGTCTATGGGGTAAGTGGCCACAGGCCTCACGTACAGGAAAATGCAGGGCACGAAGAACAAGATGACCACAGTGAGGTGGGAGCCACAGGTCGACAGGGCTTTGCGCCGCCCCACAGAGCTGCAAGACTTCAGGGAGCAGAGGATGACCACGTAGGAGGCCACGAGGATAAGGAAGATGATCACACACATCACCCCACTGTTGAGGATGACTAAGAGACCCAGGGCGTGGGTGTCCATGCAGGCGAGTTTCAGCAATGGGAACAAATCACATATGAAGTGATCGATGACATTGGGACCACAGAAGGGTATTTGATACATGAAGAGAAGCTGTATTGCTGCGTGGATAAACCCCCCGACACAGGCGCCTCCCAGCAGCAGGCGGCACACCCGAGGGTTCATGATGCTCGGGTAGTGCAGGGGCTTACAGATGGCCACGTAGCGGTCATAGGCCATCACGACGAGAAGGATGACCCCCACACCACCAAAGAAATGCTCCGCAAAGAGCTGGGCCATGCAGCCTTCAAAGGAGATGGTAGTTCTCTCGGAGAAGGAGTCCACGATCATCTTGGGGGCAATGACAGAACAGTAGGTGGCGTCCATGAGGGACAAGGAAGTGAGAAAAAAATACATAGGTGATCTCAGGCTCTGACTTGTGATCACGGTTACCACCATGAGTAGGTTCCCCAAAACCGTGGACACGTACAGGATTAGAAACACAGCGAGAGCATTTTCCGCAGCTCTGGGTTCTCTGTGATGCCCAAAAGAATGAATTCAGTCACATTGTTTGGATTCTCCATTTATTGGGTGCTTATATGAGCTCCAGCTGGGAGCTGGAAAACCTAAAAATGCAACATATGATTTATAATTAGTGATTGTTGGCCTCATGTCTTTCCAGGACCTCAGGGACCTTATTATTTGTTTGTATTCATTTATTCACTATCCAAGCATTTGGACCTTAACAACATGCTAAATGAAGAGTTGAAAAGATAGATACTTCATTCATGCCAGCCTCTCCCATGACATTTCTCCTCTTTCTTTATTTAAATGGTTCTTCCATGTGATATAGTTTTCCTCTTCCTTTTCCTCCCTTTCTTCTTATTAATAGCCACATTTTTTGAGTGCTTATCTTACTCCAGGTACTAGAATAACCCTATGATGTTTGTTTGTTTGTTTGTTTGTTTTTTGTTTGTTTGTTTTTTGTGTTTTTTTTTTTTTTTTAAAGATGATGGAGCAGACCCTCAGAGTTTAGGAGACTTAGCCAAGGTTGCACAGCTCGTAAGTGGTGAAGGCAGAACACGGGCCATACTTTCTGACTCCAATATCAGTGCCCTCAAATACCAATATTGCTTCCTTAGTAATTATTCTGTGAGTTTATCATTTGCTAATCAGTGTGCTAATTACAGTGCGATATATTATCCTATTTTATCTTCAAAACAATCTGAAGTGGGTTATGCTTCCAATGCTCTTTTCCAGATGTGTGACAGTTCCATTGTAATTCTGTAATTTGCCCATCAGTATTAAATGCTCAAAATATACCTAAAAGTTGTGGTTGTATAATACCTGGGTAATATACCTAAATTGAGTAAGATTATACACAGTGATAGTTGATGGGGGGTGGGAGGCAGAGGGGGGTGGGTGATGGGTATTGAGGAGGGCACCTTTTGGGATGAGCACTGGGTGTTGTATGGAAGCCAATTTGACAATAAATTTCATATTAAAAAAAATAAACAGTGATGGTCCAGCAGATCCAGGTCACAACAGACTGACTCAATCCTGAACCAGCCCTAAGTCATTCCTTTTGGTTTCCTCTGTTCCCAAAATGGAGCAAAGTTTCCCGGGAACATAAATGGCAAAAATTAGGCAATTCTGCTCTCCTTTTAGAGAAATGTAACACATCTTGGGAAGTTAAATCTCTTACAAGAGGTAAATCTCTTACTGGAATTTTGATTGCACAGCTCAAGTTGCTAACTTCTATGTTTCACTACTTCTTAAGAGAACAGATGATACGGTGTTTCAAGAAAGTTACTGTTGCAACCCGGAAGAAAAGCTGCAGTGAAGACGTGCCTTGTATACTACTGGGAACTACTTTTTAAAAAAATTCCTTTACTTTGAGAAAGAAAGAAAGAGAGAGAGAATGGGCATGAGAGGAGGAGAGGCAGAGAGAGAGAGAGAGACGGGGAGAGAGAGAGAGAGAGAAGAGAGAGAGAGAATCCCAAGCAGGCTCCACACGGGGCTAGATCCCACAATGGTGAGATAATGACCTGAAGCGAAATTCAGAGTTGGACGTTTAACCCACTGAGCCATCCAGGCGCCCCACTCCTGGGAATTTTTAAGCAGAGGATGGCTGCTATACCTTAGGAATTTTCTAGAGTATAGCTTTAACTGATGCGTGGAGTATACCACTGTGTGAACGCTGAGAAGTTCCTCACACAGTTCGGCAACCCCACCCGACCCCACCCCACCCCATGCACAAAATGCAGAGCGCCCACAGGTGACCGTGGCAGTGCCATTTATTCACATTGCTTAACCTCCTCCTCTCCCTCCTGACCCAGGAACTGAGATCTTTCTTGTAAGGATGCTTGTGAATTACAAGGAACACTGACTCCAGAGTCAGGGAATGAGACGTGAGTTTTACTCCATGTTGTGTCACTAATGTGGTCTGCCATTTGGGCATGTTTCTGGCATCTCCCAGCCTCAGTGTCCTCACTTGCAATATAAGGATGGATCACTAGATGAGTAACAACAAAGGACTCTGTTGCCTTCTCACAAAAGCGCTCATCTCTTAATTGATTGTATTGATTGTTTAAGCCCCTGGGTACGTTTTCTTAGAGAGGCGATTCATTTCCTGTTAAAAAAAAATTGAGGGGCACCTGGGTGGTTCAGTTGATTGTCAGCCTCTTGATTTCAGCTCAGGTCATGGTCTCGGGGTTCATGAGTTCGAGTCCCATGTCTGGCTCTGTGCTGGTAGCAGAACCTGCCTGAGGTTCTGAGAGAGAATCTGCCTCTCTCTCTCTCTCTCTCCCCGCCCCCCCTCTCTCTCTCTATATATCTCCCTCTCTCAAAATAAATAAATAAACTCTAAAAAATTGGAAAGCCACCACTGTAAGTAATATCTAATGTTCCATTTGTCTTATGGCTTGGGGCTTGAGTGACTTCATATCCATACAGTATAGAATTGAATTTTTCTTTGTAACATTCAGCCCAACACCAGCACCTTCCCCCTTAACTTATTCAGCTTCATTTCTCCGTTCTCCTTATTTTGTTTATTCCACTGTCATCCCATCCACTTCCTGCCAGACTCCTAGCATTTCTTTCCACAGCTGCCTTTCTGTTTGCAGGGAATGTCACTGGATCCAGACCCAGCAGACCTGCCACAAAGTCACAGCCAGGCCACTTACTGGCTTAGTGATCTCAGCCTCTGTAAGCCTCAGTTTCTGCAGTAGCACAATTACTAAAACAGAAAGACATACATAACTCACAGAATAATGGACATAAAATCACAGGATGAGAGAGGGGCCAGAGAGAAAGACCTCAGAGGGAAGGAGAAAGGGAAAGAGAGGGAGGGAGAGAGAGGAGAGAGGAGGAAGCTGAATTGGAAAAAAGCCATCAGAGAATCTCTTAGTAATTCTTTCCAGAATGCCTATGAGCAGTTTTTAGAAAACTACACATTTTATTTTCCAGTTTTCATTTCTAAATAAACATTCATTCATTTAATGTTGAAAAATTTTCTCAAAAGGAAACCAAAGTAGATCAAGCAAAATAACTTAATCTGATTCAGGTGTGCACTCAAGTTCATAATCAGGGTTCCTTATTCAGAGAATAAGTATTGCTTACCGATAAAGCAAACAAACAGGTATCGAGTGCGAATTACTGACATACTTTAAGAGTAACAGACATGTATGTACGTATTCGATGTAATTAATTCAATTAATGTTATATTCGAAAATAATTTCTAAGCTATAATTCTATGCAATAACTGAAACCGACATATGAAATGCTTACACCAAATAATGGAGATGATTCTTAGAGCTTAGATTTTACAGTTGGTCAACAATGGAAAGTGGCATAACTAAAGATTCTAAGGTCACTTAACCTAAGATCTTACCAAACTCAGGATTCTGTCACATGAAGTAAGTTCAGAGAGTCCAAGAACCAGGTGCAATTTTTCTAACTTGGTTTTTCTAACCGTGGAGGCAAAATCTCTAGGACCTAAACAAGGGAAAAGCCATCCACTTATTACATCTTGGCCAAATTTGTAGAACTGGGATTTGTATTGCTTTCAAAGAGAGAGTTAAACAGGAGACTTAAGTAGTTATGATCTTAAGGAGGAAATAACCTTTCTCCAAGGGATTACCAAGGGATTTCATTCTCTCCGATTAAGGACAACTGCTAAAAGATATCCAAGTACAGTGCTTACCAAATCATTCAGGTTTCTTTTTGAACCCTAGTTGATTGTATTCTTAGGTCAACGTAGACAGGGGTCTTGTTCACCTTCTTAGAAGATACATTATGACATTAATGCTCTCCTTTTGGCAGAGAGGATCTGTTTGGGCAGCTGTGACATACCACAGACCACATCATTCTAGTTTCATCCCCTGAGGCCGATTCTCCACTGATGAAGGTGCTAACCCCCGAGCCAGTGAATTCTCATCCATCTGCTATAACAATGTGGTATTCCCAGGGGACAGGATCATTGCTGGGGTCAGACCGAGCTGCTCCACAGCAGAAGTCGAGGTCAGTCTCAACAATTGAGTCACTTGTTCCTGCACTGTGACCCGTAGGGTAGTTATAGGGGAGGCACATGTGTTAGCATCCAACAGAGCCATGGGTTTCGTAACAGGCATTTTTCCCCTCCCTTTGGAATAATCTTTGTAAATCTTTTTAAAAATTTTTTTTCAACGTTTTATTTTATTTTTGGGACAGAGAGAGACAGAGCATGAACGGGGGAGGGGCAGAGAGAGAGGGAGACCCAGAATCGGAAACAGGCTCCAGGCTCTGAGCCATCAGCCCAGAGCGTGACGCGGGGCTCGAACTCACGGACCGCGAGATCGTGACCTGGCTGAAGTCGGACGCTTAACCGACTGCGCCACCCAAGCGCCCCTATTATTAATTATTTTAAGTGGACTTCACGTTCAGCACAGAACTTAGCATGGGGCTTGAATTCACCACCCTGAGATCAAGACCTGAGCTGATGTCAAGAGTCAGATGCTTAAATAACTGAGTCACCCAGGTGCCCAGGAATATTTTATTCTTTTTTTTAATGGTTATTTACTTACTTTGAGAGAAAGAGAGAGAAAGCACATGCAAGCTGGGGAGGGGCAGAGAGAGAGAGAGAGAGAGAGAGAGGGAGGGAGAAAGAAAGGGAGAGAGAGAATCCCAAGCTGGTTCCAAGTTGTCAGAGCAGAGCCTGATGTGGGGCTTGATCTCACAAACCCTGAGACCATGACCTGAGCTGAAATCAAGTGTCAGATGCTAAACCAACTGAGCCACCCAGGTGCCCATGTATTAGTTTATCCTTACTCCAGTTTCTGCTGCCTCTAATTTGCAGCAACAATTGCAACTTTTGTCTTTTTTTAGTAGTTATGTAGTATTGCATGTAATATATTACAGGAATAAGACTTTTTCGAGGCAAATATAATTGCCCAAAATGGAATAAACAAAGTGATCCTTAATACCCAGATTCCCAGCAGTGGGGATGTCACTTTCTAGCAATAACAGATCTTCAGCAGATTCAAAGGGTAAGAGGGGGTTGAGAGACGCATGACGCTTTTGAGAAAGGTATTTTGAGAACTGAACA